AAGCTAGTCCTCATATGGCTGGGAAACTAAAGAGAAGGCCTCACTATCTACTTTGGATACATAACCAACATGACTTGAAAACCTCCCAGTGAGGCCAACCTCTTGAAAGTCCCACTGTCTTCCAACATACTATCCATAATGGTCAAGATTTGACCATATAACCTTAGAGAGCCTTCAAGATCCAAACTATAGAAATGATTCCTTAGCTTTTGTCTAACAAAATTTAGAAGATGGGTTTTCTTGGGGCATCTATTACTTTTAAAAAGCCTGGAAGTCACATCCAGACTGAATGTATAATATTGATGTATCTCTTGTAACCATGGCCTGGAGTCTGGGGTTGGACTACCACACACAGCTATGGAAATGATATCAGTGATAGAAATAACATTTTAGTGGGAACAGCCTCAGCTGCTTACACTTTGTCAGATACTGGCCTATAACTTCACCTGTACTTCCAAATCTAATTGGCAAATAAAATGGTTTTACTCCCACATTACTAGAGAGCCTAGAGGGGAAAAACAAATAGGAGATGTTGATGCAGACCTGGAGGAAACAGTGTCAGGGTGGGTAAGAACATATGGATTGGTCAGAAAAAACAATGTAATGTGGAAAACCTCTGGGGATAGGTCATTTGATAGCAGTTCCTTTGCCTCAGTCATATGGTAAAAATTTATCTAAACACATAATACATTCAAAATTACATACCACTTGTTCATTTGAATTTATATTTATTGGGATTGTTGTATTTAAGTTATATTTAAAGAAAAGATTAACTATCGCTATTACAACACATAAATATAGCCATAATACAGTAGGTATTAGTCTTCTCACTAGGTATCTTCTGAAGAAAGTATTTTGTGACAGAGACCACAAAAAGGACATACATTGGAGAAAAAAATGAGATATGTATTGGTCTTTTGTTTGGGATATAATGTGTGGGTATTTGGTTAAAAGAAGTGGGACAAGAGTGGCTTAGGAGATAGACCCCAGTGATGGACACAATTGGAAAGATCCATGGCTGGAGAAAAAAACACAAAGAAGTGGGAAAAGGTAAGGAGGATGGATCTTCTCCAGGATGAAGAGTCAGGATGCTGTGACTGGCTTGTTGTAAGGATAAAGAGGCTGTTTATCAAAATGCCACAGTTTGAGATTGCTAGGGTATCACTCTTGTGAAGAAGGGATACATCAGGTTTTGGAGAATATGATGAACTTGATTTAACATACGTTGAGTTTCGGATGCTTTATGGTTATCCCAGGTGAAGTGAACAATAGCTGATAGATTTATGATCCTATAGTCAAGATCTCAAATCTGATATGATTGGGGACAGGAGGTATTTGGGTCTCACTGTCGCCTGAACTGACTGTAGAACAGATGAGACCAGAGTCCTAAGGATGATTACAACATGATGGGTGATCAGATTCTAAGAGGATGCCAGGAAAGATTGATGATGTCCTTGATACCATAAGAGGAGAAATGTCAAGAGAGTAGACAGCAGTGGTGAGTGCCCATGACGGTCATATGGGATGAAGGAAACATTTGGAAATTAAGTTTTCTTAAAAGGAGATGTTACTTTGAAAAGAGAACAGAGCTCTAACATTCTCACAAGTGATGTGAGGGAAAGCAGTGCTTCAGAAATGCCAAGAAGAGAGTAGACAGTGGTGGCAAATACCCCAGAAGGTCACGTGGAACAATGGAAACATTTGGTAATAAGTTTTTCTTAAAATGAGATATTACTTTGAAGAGGGCAGAACTCTCAATTTTTCATAGCTGCAGCCCTGGAATCTGTTATTGCAAGAATAGACATATTTCAAGAAAAGTGAAATTAAGCCAAAGGCATGGTGATTTCCACGTCTCACTTTTGGTCCAAGAATGTAGAGAGTTTGTTTGTTTTGTTTCTTCTTCTGAATTTTCCAAAATAAGCCCTCAAGCCAAGACTAACTTACTAATTGTCCAGGATTAACTTTCTTCACATTTTATTTACATCAGGCATGTTTGAAAAATATAAAGGTATTAAAATAATATTTAGTATGATAGGAAAATAAGATTGGTTATAATTCTGGCTGCTCGAATTGTGTAGGCAAATCCATGCAGGCTGGCTGCCTACTCTTTTGATATTTCCCCTGGGGTGAAACAGCTAGTGTGAGGTGTCTTTGCACTTGACAGGTCAGTTTCCATGCATAAATCCAACACTTACGGATGTCAGGGACGGATCTCCTAGGGATCTGCTTTGCATACTATAAAGTGAACATGGAAAACATCAGAGGATGCTCCAGGTAGCAAGAAATGTGTTTTGCCAAACTTGTATTTCATTTTTGTATTTCTGCATTTCTGTAACAGTTGAGAGGGTCTAAATGTGTGTGGAAGGGTAGGGAGAAAAGAACTAGGTCATGGTTTTGTTTGTTTCTTTAGTGTGATTCTTCTTAAAACATGTCCATAAATACTACTATCCACAGACCTCCTTCCTAGTTTAAATTTCTCCCCTCTGCTAACTGCCAAAGTGTGTGTGTGTGTGTGTGTGTGTGTGTGTGTGTGTGTGTTTCTGTAGGAAATGTTTCTGAAACAGCACCATGAGGTAGCAGGTATAAAAACCGTAAAAGAACGATAATAACAACCATCAAACTGTTTCTGTAGTTTATGAAGAAAAGTTAAATCACACCACATATTAATAGACAATAGAGTGATTCTTTTGATGCCCATGTAAATAAGCAACCATATCAAGAAGAAATAAGGCTTTTTAACAGCAGCAGTATTGTGGTACATGTATTTCACGGTTGGCAATTAAAGAGATGTGGTAAGTCTCTACCCTCACCACATGAAAAGACTTGCTGGCAGCATTCTATGGCAAGTCAGGGTGTTTGCTTTGGCTTGAAGTCTCTAGGGCAGTGATTCTCAACCTGTGGGTCGCATCCCTTTCACAACGGTCATATATCAGATATCCTGCATACCAGATATTTACATTACAACTCATCACAGAAACAAAATTACAGTTATGAAGTAGCAGTGAAATAATTTTATGGCTGGGGGTCACCACAACATGCGGAACTGTATAAAAGGGTTGCAGCATTAGGAAGGTTGAAAACATGGTTCTGGGGCCTCTGTACACCATAGTCTGGTGTTCTGTTTTAGAAACAACTGTTCGAACTGCCCTCACTGATCAATCCTATTCTGGATATTTGAGTGTTAGCTTCATCCACTACATTTATTGACAAAGTCCTTGTGAACAATTTCCTCTAAAACTAGAGTAAGTGGGTTAGTTGTTCATTTGTTTTACTTATTTGTAAACTGTATTTAAATTCTTGTGCAACATGAGAATTTTCTAAGATACTAGGAGGTATTAAGGACAGGGTAACCAGTCAGAATGACTTGACATGGAGTGTATGGACATTGGTCTCATTTCTCCAACTCTTGACTCTACCATCTTCTGGCCCTTTTCCACTGTCAATTAGCAGGACAATGGAGAGGCTAAGTTGTCATCCTTCCTTATTTCCAGGTCATCTTCCCTTCCATGTCTAAAAAGGTAGGAATTAGGTGGTGTTGGGGTGGAGCTAACAATGTGGGTGGAGCTAGTGAAGTGGGTAGAGCAGCTCACAGCTCTGCTCTTCTGGTTGGCATGAGAGGAATGCAGAATTTGCTTTCCACCCCTCTATCCCAGTTTCCTTCTCTCTGCTTGGTGTATAGAGATGGTGTGATTGTAGCAAGCTGAGAGACAAGATTTTTATTATTATCATTACTCTGTTATTCAATGAGAGAGCAAAGTTAGGCCTTGGCTGGTTGGTCCAGGGCTCATCTTCTATACTTGTTAGAGCCTCCCAAGTCAAGGATTGCTGAGTCCTGTGGTGGACACTCCAGGACATGCTTTGCTGAACACATGGGCAGTGGTCAAAGTTGTGAGCAAGTCTTGAGATCTACCATAGAACAAGAAAACCATACAGGAAGTGTGCATCATCCATGTTTGGCAGGAGTGATAGAGGGGAATATTGTTTTCTTTGAATTTTATTTTTTGAGTCAAGACTCTGGTGAAACACAAGTTCCATTAACCCTGCCAGATAGAATAATTTGTCTATTTACAATTCTCCCATTAGGTATATTTACTCCAAAAGTTTGATAACAAAATATATTAAAGAATATTATAAGAAATTATTATTATTTGGAAAAAGTTAAAATACTATACATATAAAGTGGTTATCAGGGTGCCAATAAATGCTCTAGAATCTGATTTTATATATTCCTTGTATAGTTCCTAATTGGGGATTTTTTTTATCTTCTTAGCATAAATGATTGCATCCAGAAAGCATAGTGGTTCCTGAATTTCATATATTTAAAATGCAGTATTTTCATAAAGAACAAAACTATCCCCCCAAGGTCATCAATACCACTGGATGTTGTTAAGACCTAGGCATTGAGGAACAAATGGACTGGACATGACTTGAAGCATTATAAAGAAGCTACTGATCCTCTTGGCTTAGTGCTTCCTTCTGGGTAGCATTATTTGGTGGCTGGTTATGTCACAGCATCAGCCCCTAGTAGTCAGCTCAGCCAACTTTCCCTTGTTGAGAAAACTTGAATGTGGTAGGCAGTCTGAATACATGCAAAAAGACAGCAACTTACCATCTAGAGTAAGATTTCTGCTTGTTGCCTCTCTGAACTTAATCTAGACTGTATGTTCTGGTATTTAGACAGTAAGTGCAGATACTGTTCATGGATAGTGGCATAAATTCCCTCTACTTCGCATATCTAAGAACTTTATACCTTATTTTTTTAATACTTGGGTACAAGCTATTTCTTTATGATACTTGGTAACTTATGGATCACCTTTCATCCAGGAGGTCACTGAAGACCACACATGGAATACATGACAGTACAGGCAGCTGACTTCCAGCTCTCCTGGGGTGGCATGTGTTCCCCACCTTTCCTGTCACTGTGTCCCTTTAAAATGGGACTGCCTTCCTCACAACCTGGAGATCATACCAATTCCTTACCTGTAAAATTTTCCTTTTAGGATCCACCCACTTCAGTTTCCCTTGGACTGCGAATGGAAGAGATGATCTTCAACTTGGCAGACACACATCTATTTTTCAACGACCTAGAAGTAAGTTATAATTGTTTTACACATACTTTGTGGAACATATTTGAATATAAGTGGCTGATTCTGGAATAATGATTGGCTATTGCTCTTCTCAACATATAACTGGAATACTGAGACAAAGTGCTTGTAAGGCAGTGTGTTTCCCCTTTGTGGTATTTATTACACTTTAAAGTTGGATCCTATGATTAAAATTTGGTGACACGATTCCTAAGTGCGATCCCCGGAAGCTTTGTGCATCATTATTGCAGCCGCCTGTGCTGCCCCTATCCAACTCTTCCATTGCTTTTCTGTCCAATCTGATTGTTTGGAGCTGGTTTGAATGAGCCTTTACTGTCTGCGAGGCTAGCGACCTCTCATGTCTTAACTGTAGCTGGTTTTATTGGGGGAAACATCTCTAAGGTGGCTGGCTGACTGAATGGACGGCAGCAGGCATGATCTTAGCTGCATTCTTAACAAAGAAGGGCATTGTTTTCACCTATCTACATTATGACAAAACATGACTATAACTCCACTGCCCTCCTCCTTCACAGGGATGGTTGTTTATTTAACTCTCACTGCTAAGCAAGCTTGTGGTAGGGCTGCCAACAGGCATTAATCATCAAGTTGTTGCTTTGCTAGGTTTTATAAACGTATGTTATTTCAGACAGGAGAAGAATCTCAAAGATTCAAATAGAACTTTTACTGATCAAAGTTAATTGGCAGCAATTGGCCTTTAAATATTTCCTGATGTTTCCCTTCTCAAAATCAAGCAAAATGCACCTTATTTAATAGAGGAGCCAAAATCACTTGAAAAATGCCAGTGTGTGACAGAACCTAAATGCGGTTTGTTCAACATCTGTCCTGTATTTTGATTTCTTTTCATCTGCAATGAAACAACTCACAGGCGAATTGGCAGCTTCCAGTGCAATAAAATGATTTAAATGCACTTGATTTTTTTTCTCATTCCTCAGAGAGATAGTTATTTTTATATTTAGAAGTGAAGTGCAATTTTTATTTTTTTTCATTTTTAAGTGTTTGCTTTCCTCAAGGACATGCAAGGCATTATGATTTTTCATGGGGGAAATTCTCTCTGAGTGACAGCTTCAGCATTACCTTTGTCAAAGCTTCATCATCAACACTTATTTTCAAAACTTGCTTCTGACTTGTGATTGTGTTTCACTTTGCAAGAAGGTGACACAAAAATTCCATATTTTACTTGCCTGTTAAGATTCTTTACCCAGATTTCCATTTATCTCTAAAGACACAGACAGACTAGGCAAGTATTTTACATTTAGTGCAAACTTGTCCTTCTTATTGTTGCCCATCAGTATCTGTACCTCCATCAAGACTTGACAAGGAATACTTTGGAATTGATTAAAATCTGGCTTGTTGAAAAATGTCAAATGGTATGCAAAAAGTGAGAAGTTAAGCAAAATAATAATTTATGATTTAATTTATTTTGGTTCTTATGAAAGCTTCCAAACTCAGCTTTGATTTAATACAGTTTTTGTTTGTTTAATTTACATTATTTCCACTAAAATACAAAGAGAGAGAGAAATGGCACTCAAATACCTTAAAAGTACATACTAGAGATTCTTATGTATTCTTATTATTCTTTTTGTTTGTTTTTTGTTTTTTTTTTAAATGGAGTGTGCTGTGACACAGGGTTTTAAGGAGTTTGACAATCTCTTATTGGGCATGGAATATCATCCCTGAACTCTGGTTGGTGACATTTGCCTTTACTTCTTTGTAAGGTCTTAGCTTTTTGACAGCTTCCCCTTTGCATGTTCTGTTTAGCTCATATTTGCTTAATAAAACAAAAGGTTTGGGGCTTCCAGTGACATGTGTGGTACCCTCAAATTATGTGTATGCCATGACTATTAGACTATGATTTTAAAGACTTAGGGTGCAACTTTTAAAGGAATTCAGAAATATCATCATGAACTCTAAAAAGTAAAGTAAATAATAGCCCTATTTAGTTTTTAAAGTCTTGACATCTCAGTGACTTTTTATTTAAAGTATCAAAATTCACTTTAATTCCATTGGTACATTAGAAAAGTAAATTTAAAAGAAAAAGTTTTGTTTCTTTGTGTCATTAAAATTGTCCAATTGTTGAGGAACAAGAACGATAAGGAGACATAACTATCATGGGATATAATAATTTCCGCAGTAGAGATGGGCTGAAATATTAGTTACAAAGCATACCTCTGACTCCCTGCTTCCTACCCTGACAGACGTCCCACATATCACTTTACAGAAAGCCCCTGCTTGTGATCTAATGATGCTTATATGGAAGTCTTTTTTTTTTCTTTTTTCTTTTGTAAATGACACTATGGAACCAGAACGTTTTTCAGATTTTTTTTCAATGTGTGAGTTTATAACTGAATAGAGAAAAGAAGGTTTTGGGTTTGTTTTTTTTTTTTTCTGTTGGATTTGTTCTCAAAAGTAGCTATCTGCAAACAGTGACAGCAGTAACATTGGGTCTAAGCCACATCCTGCAGGTTCCCCTCCTGGAACTTTCCACATTTAAAAGGAAATACTTGGTGCAGATGTTTATGTCTAAATAGAAACAAGGCATTCAGTTTGTCTTGAGCTTTCTCTTAGCACTGAATAATACTCATTGTCATGGTGGCTGTCATGCTAATGCATGCACTCCATATGGTGGCTATGAGGAGTAGGCAGAAACTGTGTTCATATGTTACCCATGGAGAAATGAAGGCCAGGAGATCATGGAAACACTCCCTGTGTCTGTGGACACAGCATATGAGGCCATTGCCCATGCTACTCATCTAGGCAAGTTCTCTAGTGCATTGTTTAGTTGGGTGTCCTGGTTAGAATTTTTGTCAACCTGAGTAAGCCAGAGCTAAGAAGAAAAAACTTAATTTAGAAAATGCCTCCAGAATATTGTTTCAAGGGCAATGAAAGATCCCAGTTCACTGGCGATGGTGCCATCCCTGGGCAGGTAGTCCTGGGTTGTATAGCAAAGCAGATACAGCAAGCCATTGAGAGCAGGCCAATAAGCAGCATTCGTCCATGGTCTCTGATTCAGCTTCTGCCTTGAGTTCCTGCCATGATTTCCCTCAATGATGGAGTATGACCCAAGAGTTCTAAGTTCTGAGAAATAAACCTTTTCTCCCTCCAAGCAATAGAAATGTACCTAGGACAGATGTGACAATCCGTTTGAGTTTCTGCTGTATACAGTCCTAGCACAAATTGACTCTTGCCTAAGCCAGTTTGTCTAGAGTCTGTTTTCTGTTTTGTTTGGTTTTTTAATACCTATACTTATAGGCCTGCTGTCACTCCCCTTTTTAACTAAGAGAAAGAATAGAGGACCTGGCTTCACTAGGGTCTGGGTTTGACAAATCCAAGGTCAATGTGAGGAACTTGTGGACAGTATCTGGTTAACACCAGAAGGGACCGTGGAGATTTGTCTTGTAAAGAAATGTGTGTGTGCCTTGGTTTAACTCAGTCTTTAAGTGTGGTGTAAGTTTTATTATTTTAAAATTCAGGTTAGGTAGCAATTATCTTAATATATCTTATTTAGACATCTATTTTTATCTGGGAAAAATATCTTTCTTCAAACTGTCAGTCAGGCCAGTGTTGAGTGATTCCTAGTGATGCGTGGTTTACTGGCCTACTAGCATGTGCTTCCAAAAGCATAAAACACTGAATTCACAAGTTGATTTTTTTTGAGTTTAAGAAATATGATTCACCTAGAAAGTACTTTTTGTCCTATAAATAGAGGCTCTGGTGCCCAGCAACCAGCCTTGTGGATGATGGGAGCCTTGGTTTTCAGCAGCCAGAGAAAAGGGTTGCTTGGGTGCTAATGAGGAAGACATGTAGAAAAGAGCCAAGCTAGTTTCTGTGTTAAGTCACATCCATCAGCCCAAAGTAAGTGTACAAAAATGTGTGGGCAGGTCAACTGATAAAGCCCAAACATATATGTCCCACTGAATTGCACACAAACACAGTCATACAACTTGTCATTTTTCAGCTCTGTACATAGATTTTGGTGTCTGCAGACAAATGTAAGGAACTAAAACCTTCATGATAGCTTTGTACATACTGATCATTAAAGTTTTGTTAGGTTGAATTCGTGTGCGTTTTCTTAGAGTGAAGCACTGATTCTTGCTTCCTTCCCCAGAGAGATTAATTGGTCTAGCCCGTGTCTCTAGTTAAGAGTGACATAAATACTCTCAGTTTAGGGAAGAATATGTTTTGTAATCAACAAATGATTGCTAACACAATGAATTGTATTGAATTTGTTTTACCTATTTTACAACTATTGTACAGTAAGAAGCTTTTATGTTATCCATTATTCTTACTAAAATATCATTGTTCTTTTTATTTTGGTTTTGGATTTGAAGACAGGGTTTTTTGTGTAGCCTTGCATGTCCTGAAACTTCCTCTGTAGACCAGGCTGGCCTCAAACTCACAGAGGTCCACCTGTCTCTGCTTCCCAAGTGTTGGGATTAAAGGCATGTGCCACCACCAGCAAGCATTATTTTATTGTTCTTATTCATTCATAATTTATTGTAAGATTGTTGTCATTATTTTACCTCAAATTTAGCATGGAAATATAATGCTATATCCAAATGCTTGATATTTTGATGTTTATAAAAAAATTAAGAGTCAACATGAGTAGTGGTTAACATAAGAGATGTTTACTGGACTAAAGACACAGAGTGCTTGCCTGGCATGTATGAGTCCATTGGGTCCAGCCCCAGCACTTCAGAGAGGGAGGGGGTGTGAGGGGAGGGAGAGGGAATGGGGTGGTAACATTTGTGGGAGGGAAACCCAGAAAGTGAATTGAGAAGCAGCTGCAATTGTCAGGTGAGAAACCATTCTGAGAGAAGAATGGCAAACACAGTGGTCTTGTGGCAGGAATGAGCAAGACAACCACATGGTTAGGGCAGACAGACAGAGTCCGCAAGGGCCACTGGAGACTTTTAAACATGGACTTGACAAAATAGCATATTTTTAAAAAGTAAAAATCAGCCTTCCTATCAAGTGAGGAATGAAGG